TGTACAGAGATGAGTGATACATAGATAGCTATGATAGATACATACATAGAGAAGGATGATAATAGACAGATAGATAGATGGAGACAGATAGATGGATGATACAGATGGATGATTAGATAGATAGACAGACAGATAGGTAGGTACATAGGTTGAGAGAGATACAGATGGATGATCCTCTGGAGAACCCTGACCGACACAGAGGGGAGGTATAACCCCTCTCTCGTTGACCTGGGCTGTCCTCAGTGCCTCCAGGGACTTGGGAGTCTAGGTCACAGTGGAGCTGCCACTTCCTTCAAGGTCCCCAAGAACACACCCTCTTGGACACAGCTGCCATGTTAAGGGGAAGCCCAAGCAACCCCATGGAGAGGCCCCGTGTTGAGGGGAACTGAGGACCCAGCCGAGAGCCAGCCCCAAACAGCCGCCGTGAGAGTGAGCTGCCCTGGACGTGGCTCTCCCAGCCTCGGCAAGCTGCCTCTGGCCGGGAGGAGTGGCGAAAGCTGCCCAGCTGAGCCCTGCCCAACTGGAAATTTATGAGCGACCAACAGTGTGTCATTCGGAGCTTCGGAACTTCCTGGCAGTTCAACATACAATAAGAGCTAACCAGAACAGATGTACTTCTCGACATGTTTGGAGTCCTCAACAAAGTGGATCTGTGTGCAAAAGTGTTTGTATATACATTGAAAAATGTTCATAGAGGCCATTTTTAAAAACTGAAAAAAAAATCACACCAAACTGCTTGACTAGAGGTGGGGAGCAGAAGCAGAAGTGGGAGAATTCCCCTTCTAAATTTCCACGCTTGCAAGTTGTTGTTTTCTTACATCAAGCCCGTGTAATATTTGGAAAGACAGAGGAGGGAAATGAATAAAGTGCACGTAACAACACTCCCTGGCTCACGGCGGTCAGCACCAAGCACATGTCTGCCACTGTTTCCCTTAGTTTCGTGACAGAGTGAGGACACTGGACCAGCTGTGACCCTGGGTCTCTCTGGCACACACGTCAGGGACCTGGCTGGCTGTGAGTGACCCCATTCCTTCCCTCTGCCCTGAGCAAGGAGGAGTCTCCAGGAGGAGAGCAAGCACTGGGCTTGGGGTCAGATGGCCCCTGGTCAAAGCCCAGCTTTGCCACTCTCCAGCTCTGTGATCTGGAGCAAGTGTCTTGCCTTCTCTGGGCCCCATGTTCCTTCTCAGTACAAAGAGCATAATAACAGGTCTGTGGGGATTGGAAGAGCGAGCCTACATGTGTGTCTTAGTTCAGGTGCCCTGGAAGTAGACTCTGATGCAAGGATTCAAGTGCAAATACTCCATTTGGAGGTGATTCTGGCATAAGAATTCACTGCCACTTGTTTCTTGGGAGGTGATCCCAGAGATGGCAGAAGGGCCGTGGGGGAGTGAGGCAGGGAAGGGAAGGTAGTGGGTAAAAGGTACTGTTGCAAGGCAGTCCCCACGGTGGGCACGTGGGGCCCAGTCCCTCTGCGGACCTCTGGGAGACAGCAGAGGACGTGCACCCACCAGTCGTGGGTCAGGCCACTTCCGAGGGCTGTTTCTCCAGAGTCCAGCCTGCACTGCAGGAGGAGGAGTCTGGACAGAGACTCTGCCGCACAGAACAGCGCGATGTGGACCGGCAGTCACTCAGTGAGTGGGATTCTCCCTCCTCCCCTCCCAACACACCCATCCACACACACACGTACACTCACAGACACACACTCACAAGTGCGTGCACACATGGCACACCCGGGCACACACGCATACATGCACACAGTCATGCACATGCACATGGTCACACTCAGACATGCGCACATACACAAGACACAATCACACACAGGTGCCTGCACACACATCACATATGGGCACACATGCATGCATGCACAGTCATACACGTGCACACGGTCACATTCACACTCACACGCATGCACACATACTCACAGACACACACAGAGGTGCGTGCACACACAGCACACATGGGCACACATGCATACATGCACACAGTCATGTGCATGCACACGGTCACATGCATGTGCACATGCTCACAGACACACAGCACACATGGGCACACGCACATACATGCACACAGTCATACACGTGCATATGGTCACACTCAGACATATGCACATACAGACACACACACGAGTGTGCGTGCACACACATCACACGTGGGCACAAACATACATGCACACAGTCATGCACCTACGTGCACACGGTCACAGTCAGGCATGTGCACATACAGACACAAGCACACACAGTGCCTGCACACATGTCACACATGGGCACACACGCATACATGCACATAGTCATATGCATGCACAGGGTCACACAGGCATGTGCACATACTCAGACACACACGGGCATGTGCACACGTCACACACGGGCACACGCATCCATGCACACAGTCATACGTGTGCACAGGGTCACGTTCACACTCACACGCATGCGCACATACTCACGGAACAGACACCATCACGTACCCACACGCAGTCACCCGCACACGGGCGCCTTGAACCGATGGGGACGGGCCCCTTAGAGCCTGTTGTCCCGAAACCATGCAGCAGAGGGAGCCCCCGACCCCCAGGAGACCGGGGAGCCCCGCAGCCGGCGCCCGGGCCACCCTCACCCCTTCTTTGTCCCGGTCCCCCGCGGACGGTCAACGGGCATCACAAGCACGACGATCCTGTAAAACCCCGCATAGCAGGGGCGACTCGAGGTGCAGGAGGGGCCGGCACGTGCCCAAGGCCGCTGCTAGGAAAGGGCCGAGCCGGGGTTTGAACCCACATGCGTCGCCTCCCATGGCCATGTTATCTTCGCTGGCGGATGACGGAGTTGCACCGAGTGGGGCCGAGGGAGGCGGGCGCAACGTGGAGACGTTCGGCCTGGCGGGGCATGTGGGAGAAGCAGCATCAGCAAGAGGCCGCTGGCTCGCTGGGGCCCGGGTCTGCAGGTTTCCCACGCAGCCCCGGAGCAGCCTCGGGAAGCGGACGCCAGCGACGGCCCCAGCACATGCCGCCTGGGGGCGCCCCAGGATCTGCCGCCCAGCCTCGCCTCGTCTCCACGCCCCTGACTCCACCCCATCCCTGCCAACACCCCGTCACAGGCCACCAGGCTAGAGACCCGACCAGGACCAGGAGCCCGAGGGAGGAGCTGAGGCTCCAACGTGAGGATATCGTTGCAGGACTGGGGTGAGTCATCGCACTCCGGGGGACTCAGTTTCCACCTCTGTTAAACGAGATAACAATACCCATCTTATAGCAACGGTAGCGTGAGAATCAAGTGGGAGCATGCGGGAAAGGCCCACAGGAAGCGCTCCATCAACTTTAAATGTCTTTGTTGTTATGCTGACTTTGGCGAACCCCCCACCCCGGGCTCCGTCCTTAAACCCCTCCTCTGTCTACACGCACGCGCACACGCATGCACACGCACACAGTGGGCTAGCTCACCCGGTCTTGGGGCTTCTTAAACACCATCTAAAGGCTGAGGCTTCCTAAACGTATATCCCCCGTCCAGACTCTCCTGAGCCTGGGACCCGTCTGTCCGACTTCCTCTCCAGCTCCGCCCGACATGCCGATCTCATCCCCGGAAACGGCCGACCCCCTTCAGCGCCCCCGCTCCCCCGCTCCCCCGATGGCCGCTCCGCCTGTCCAAGGCTGAGACCCAAAGCCGCGGTCCTCCCCTTCTCCTGGGCCCCACACTCCATCCTTCAGCAAGCCCGCCAGCACGACCTTCATAACACATCCCTCAGCAGAATCCAGTTGCCCTTGCCCCCCTACAGCCCCAACTTGGTCTAAGCGGCCGTCACCTCTCACCTGGACTGAGCTCACCCCCCCTGGTCTTCCTAGTCCCATCCTCGCCTCACAGCCTCTATTCAACACACAGCAGCCGAAAGAGACCACAAAGACTGTATGACAAATCCCGTCCCTCTGCCCCGAACCCACGCCCCATGGCTCCCCATTTCTGTCATAATAAACTTCAAATCCTTTCCGCGGCCTCCAAGGCCCTCTGTGAACTTTCTTATTTATTGTTTGTTTGTCATCTCCTCCCTCCAGAATATCAATTATGCAAGGGCTCAAATACTGCCTGGCTCACAGCAGATGCTCAATAAATATTTGATGAATTGATATAATCATTGTAGGCATTGTATGGCCCCACCTTCCACAGCACCATATCAGGGGCTAATCCACTCTCTAGTTCCCCCAGCCAAAGACTTGGGAATCACCCTTATGTCTCCCTTCCCTCAGCGCCCCCCCTCCTATCCCACCTCCCTCTTCCCCAAGCTACCAGTGCCCAGTGCCCCCCCCCCCCATTCCAAACCACCTCCCTGCCAGCCCTGATCTGACAAAGACCTGTCCTGCCCCCTGGGGGCACACACACTCTATAGCTCCCTATTGCCCTCAGCATAAAGCCTGAACTCTGATGTGACCCACAGTTCCTGCACAGTTGGCTCCTGCCCATCCTTCCTCCATTCTGCCCCCACTCCCCAGATCCAGCCACCCTGGCCCCTTGTGAGTTCCTCAAGCATCCTATGCTGGCCCTCACCAGAGGACGTTTGCAGATGCTGTTTCTATTCCCTGAAATTTTCTTCTCTCCCTTATCACCACTCAGCTTCTACTCCTTCTTCAGCGAGATGCTCTCCCTGAGCCACCCCCCACCCCTGTTATGCTCGCCCAGTACCAAGGGCCTCTCCTTGGGAGCACCTGTCACGGGTTGTAAATAAATTTACGTGTGGAATTATTTGTTCAACATCCGTGCCCCTCCTCTCAAGGGCAGAAGTTGGGCCCAGCTGTGCTCCTGGCCCAGTGCCAGCAGACACAATCCATATGTGGGCAATTGACAAAATTAAGGAATGCACAAACTCTCCCCAAAACTGTGAGTTTATGATGGAGGACAAATGGCTTCCCAGCCCCCCAGCCCACAGCTTCCCCCAGTTGCCTCCCAACTGTCCAGGGCCCCTCATTTCCTGGCTGGGCTCCGGGTGTCAGGGTCTGGCCAGGCTAGCGGGTGGACGGTGGGGGATGTCTGTATCTCCTGCTTTTATTCTGCAAAACTCAGAGCACTCAGCAAAAAGGCCTTTGAGCGAGGGAAGAAGGAAGGGGCTTGCGAGGGAGGGTCTGGGTTCACAAAACAGCAAAAGCAAACAGCCGGGGCCCTGGATGCCGGCTGATGCCTGCAGAGTTAGTCCATGCGAGCCGGGGGCCTCAGGAAGGTGATGTCCGGGTTCAAAGCTCTGACCTCGGCTCCAGCCCCCAAGTCCTCCATATAGAAGCCAGCCGGGGTCCGCGAGGCTCCGGCTTGAATCCGGGAGGCCTTGGGCGGCGGGTCTTCGGCCCATGGAAGGCTCGGTGGGCGGGGCCTGGAGACCCGAATCTGCGGGATCCCGGGGAAGGGGCCCGGGCCTGAGGGGGCGTGGCCGAGCTCGGTCCCTACAGCTGGAGGGCAGGAACGGACGCTCAAGGGGCGGGACCTGGACCTCAAGGGGCGTGACCGGACGCTCGGGGGCGGAGCCTCGGCCTGGGGGCGTGGCCGGCAGCGTCAGGCGGCTCCTTGGACCCCGGTCCTCCGCGGCGGCCCGGGCCTTCGCGGGGCGGGGCCTACACCCCAGGAGCTGGGGTGCGGCCTCCCGGGGCGCGGCCCGGGCCCGGGATCCGCGGGCGCCGCGCTCAGGCCCGCCGAGGCAGCGGCTCCACGTTCAGCCAGATGCCGCTCTCCGAGCGCAGGATGAGCTCCGGCTTCCGCCGCACCTTGTGCGTGCGGTCCACGCTCAGGCGGAAGCGCAGCAGCGTCAGCGCCAAGACCACGCGCATCTCGGCCATGGCGAAGCTCTGTCCGATGCAGTTCCTGAGGGAGGGTACGCGGGCTCAGCCCAGCCGCTGTGCGAGCGAGCAGGGCCCCTGGACTGGGGAGGTGACCTGCCCCTTTGAGGGTGACCTGTCCCCCATCTGTAAGGCGGGGACAGTGGCATCATAGAGCTGCTGGGAGCATATGAGCCCAGAACTCGGGGCCTGGCACGCAGCCGGTGCTCAGTGCCCGGGGACGCGGGCGCAGAGTCTGATTCGGGCCTCCTACTGCCCTGGGGGCACGCGGAAGACGCTAGGCCGGCGGAAAGGCACCTAGGTGGGCCGTGGTCCCTGCTCCTAGCAGGCACATCCCTGATTCTCCACTGGCCTCGGCGTTCCCCCCACGCTTGGCTTGGGCTGGGCGAAACAGAAGTTACCTGGGTCCTGCGGAGAAGGGCACGAATGCCAGCGGGGAGCGCTGCTGCGGGTTGTCCGGGTCAAAGCGGTAGGGATTGTACACCTAGGCAGGGGCATGGGGGGTGGGTTGGGGGCTGGCCCAGCCATCCCAGCCTGGCTCCCTCCCTCAGCCTCTGGGGAGCAGCCCAGCTGGACAGAGAACTTCACTACCGTCCCGCCACGCCCGTCTCGTGGTGCGCAGGCATGCCAGGCTCCTTCCCACCCCAGGGCCTTTGAACTGGCTGTTTCCGCCTCCCCGTTCTTCACACTTTTCAGGTCTCAGCTCAAACATCTCTTTCTCGTCAAGGCCTTTCCTCACCATCTGAGCTAAAGTGCCCCCCCTCCAGTTTTTATTTCCTTTGTGCATTTATCGGTACCCAAAATGATCTTATTTTTTGCTTGTCTTCTTCCTCCACGCTCCACTGGGAGCTCTGAGGGCAAAGACAGTATCTTCCTCTGTCCTCAGTGCCCAGCACAGGGTCTGGCACACAGTAGGTGCTCAATAAATATTCGTTGACCTCATGAACTAGCAATGAAGCAGTGGGGGAGGGGCGCTCAAGTCCTGTACCCAGCCCTGCTGTCTGGCTCCCTGCCCCCAGATTGCCCCTTCTGAGGAGGAAGAAGCGAGGCAAGGGGGGGTTGGGGCAGGAGCTCACCTTGGAGTCAGGCCACACTGTGGGGTTGTGGTGGGTCCCGTAGATGCTGACCAGACAGATGATTCCTGTGGGGAGGGGTGGGGTCAGTGGGGCCAAGGGGAACCACTGGAGACCTCCCCCTCCCTGGTTCTCCCTGCAGCCATAGCATTCCCATGAGCCATCTGCCACCCCTTCCTGCCCCATCCACTCCCTCTGCTTCTCCCTAAGAGTCTCCATCACCTTCTTTCTGGCTACCATGCTAACCACACAGGGATCCCTCTCACTCACATCACTGACATTGCTCCTCCTCAGCTCAGACACCTTCCATGGCTCCCTACTGCTCTGAGGATTGTGCTCAAGTGACTCAACCTGGCATTCAAGGCCTTTGTCTGCACCCTGAGGCTCTGCTCCATAAGCAAGTTCCTTCTTTCACTTCCTGCTTTCAAGGTTCACTTCTCATGTTCCCTCTTCCAGGCAGTCCTCTCTGCATTCTGCCACACCTAGAGGCATTGCTCCCTATTTGGGGCTGCTCCCGCCCCTGTCCCTCCCTTTAGCCCATCTTTGACCCCATGTGGCTAAGAATATCTGTGCCCTGCTGTATTTCCCACAGACTGGGTGGTACCTTGAGGCCTCTCTAGATCCCCAGCAAAACCCAGGAGAGGACTTTCTCTCTGGGGGATATCTGGCACCTGAATGAAACCAACACCCCCATCCGTGTGCCCTCATAGGGCCACCCTGCACACCCCCTTCCTTCCCCTGGCCTCACCCACTTCTTTCTCTCCCTACACACCTGGGTCCCCCATCACCCCAGGAGCAACAGCCACACAGAGCGCTGCCCATCCACAGGGATGGTGCACTGGGGCGGGCATAGCCGGGCAGCAGGGAGCACACGGTGGGCACCTTTGGGGATGATGCGCCCATCGGGGAGCTTGATGTCCTCCGTGCAGCGGCGGGAGACCAGCGTCACGGGCGGGAACTGGCGCAGGCTCTCCTTGATGCACATTGTGGTGAAGGGCAGCTGGGTCAGGTCGTCCCTGGGGAGCATGGAGCGCCGGGTGACTGGGAGCCCCCAAAACACACGCGCGCGCGCGGGCTCAGCAGCAACCGCGCAGGAACCCGGTCCCGGATCTCAGACTTGCCCCCACTTTCGGCGTTTACAGCTGTGCCAGGCACAAACCCCGACCCTCAGCGTGCACAGGTTTGACCCCGGCCAATCAGGGCACGGCTGGCAGGCTTCCGCAGGTCCCACGTTAATCCTTTGACTGACGCATTGCATGGAGGTCAGGGGGCACCGGGGGAGGGGCCAGGACGGGCCGACCCCGGGCAGCAGTGACTTGCCAGCCGGTATAGACCGAATTCAGTATTTTAAAACCTGTGTATCCTCTCCTTATGCTACTATTTACTTAATTTTATTTTCCTTTGGACTTCAGGGCCCAAAATTGGATGAATTATAACTCTTGGTTTGTGGTCTAGATTGTTTTCTTTACACCAAGAGGTTCTCTTTCAAAGGACCTTTGTGTCGCTACCGTGAAGGGCAAAGAGCAAAGAGCATGCCTGACTAGCTGTGTCCCTAGAGACAAACACCCTGGAAAGACAAGCGGATGACTGACTCCTGGCCAGACACTGACTCCCGCCAATCTCAGGGCCTGCAGCATCGTCTTGCTGCTAAAAAGGCAGATTAGCAAGGACCAGCAAGGTGTTGAAGACACAGTGGCACACAGCGAGAGCATCTCCCTGAGACCATAATTTGAAAGGTCGACAGGGAACCGAAAGGAGCTTTGTCAGTGACCGACGATATTTAATGCTGGGTTTTCTTTGCGTCCCCCAGCATCAGCTCTCCACGCAGACATCTGAAGTAGTTTGGACTATTTCTCCTGACTCTGCCCTTCCCCTCACATTTGAATCATACAGCCCTGCTCTTTGCCCCATGGCACTGCAGTGCCTTTTGTGCAGGTGGGTGGAGCGGTCAGTGCCGACCGCATATACGGTGGTGGTCCCATAAGATTAGTGCTACAGAGCCTAGGTGTGGGGCAGGCTAGACCATCTGGGTTTGTGTAAGTCACTCTGTGTTGTTCCCACCACGACACTGCCGAACGATGCATTTCTCAGAACATGTCCCCGTCGTTAAGCAGCAGATGACTGTCAGTGTCCTGCCCCATTCATGTTGGGCTGGGCGATATCACTTGCTTTAGCTAATGCAATGTTATGATGAACCAGAGGTTTTAAGCTGTGTGGCTCTCTGTGCTTCTGGACTCTGCCTCATGCCAGGGTAGCTGCTGGCCCAAGAGGAATGAGGGGATAGGTGGGGCAGACCTGAACCCAAATCTCAGTTTGGAAGCAACCCCACTCAGCTCAGCAGCATCCAGCAGTAACAAGAGTAACGTGCAGACAAGAGCAAGAACTATGTGCAGACAAGAACGGGAGATAAATGCTTGCTGTAAACCTCTGAGTTTGTGGGCTGTTTGTTATGCAGCATTACTGCAACCATTGCTGACAAAGACATTCCTGACTAAGAACTCCTGCATTACAAGATGGGCACAGGCATCACTGTCATCTCCACTTTACAGCTGAATAAATTGAACTTGAGGAAGCTTAAGTGACTTGTCTGAGGTCAGGCAGTCAATAAGTGGTAGAGCAGAGAGATTCATACCCAAGGCTCTCGACTCCACCTGCCCCCTCCATCCCCCTGACCCCATACTGACCACTCCAGCTCCTCCAGCTCCCGGCCTTTCATGACTTCCTGGATCTCTTCCCGGCACTTCTCCTGGTACTCTGGATACTTGGCCAAGTTGAACAGCAACCACGAGAGCCCACTGGATGTGGTGTCATGACCTGCAGGGAGATGAGGAGCTTGAGTGGAGGCTGCCTGAAGATGGCAGAGATGCTATCTTCAGACAATGGCCCTCACACCCCCGCCCCAGCCTCACGCCAGGTCCTCACCCTCAAACATGAAGGTGTCCGCCTCAGCTCGGATGTCCTCATCTGACAGTTCCTTCCCCTCTTCATCCTGGAATGGGCAGAGAAGATGCTCAGCCCTGTTCTTCCTGCTCGCCACATCCCAGGTGCTCCTCCAAAGTTAAGACACCCCCCCCTTAGCCAAGCTATGGGAGAAAGGATTCCCAGGAGGCAGAGGTGTGCCACTCGTCTAAGAAAGATGGAAAGAGGGAAGGAGAGTCAGAGGGCGGGGGGGGAGGGGAGTTCGTATTTCCTCAGTAGCTCCTAGCACCACACATCCTGCCAGATGTCCAACAACGATCTCATGATCAGGTCTTAGGATTATCATGTTGTAAATGAGGAAACTGAGGCTCAGAGAGAAGAGTCAGATGACTACGGTTAGAGCCAGAACTGTCTGAATCCAGAACCCAGGTGCTGCTTGGAACACCCAGAAGCGCCACCAAAGGGTGACCACCTCTCTCTGCAAGTGTCGCATTTCTTCAAGTCTTGTATTTCCTCTTTGTAAAAGTTGTGGGCTGAAGTGTGTTCATGCCCCTCTGGAATGTATATGTTGAAATCCTAAACCCCAGGACCTCAGAATGTGACTGTATTTGGAGAGGGGCCTTGCAGAGGTGATTAAGTTTCAATGAGGTCGTGAGAGTGGGCCCTGATCCAATGTGACTGGTGTCCTCATGGGAGGACGAGATGAGGACGCGGACACACACAGAGGGACGACCACATGGAGACACAGGAGAAGACAGCATCTACAGGCCAAGGAGAGATGCTGCAGAAGAAACCGGCCCTGCCCACACCTGGATCTCAGGCTTGTAGCCTCCAGTACTGACAAAGTTGATCTCTGTGGTCTAAGTCCCCAGTCTGTGGTGTTCAGCAGCCCCAGCAGGCTCAGCCAGCCAGTCTCGTGTGTTCTGCCTCTGCCTGTATCCTGGATCAGCGCTAGTTGGGACGTTAATCATTTTACAAAGGTGGTATAAGCTGTGAGGAGGCTGCCCGCCGGGGCCCAGCCTCACCCTGGCCAGCAGCAGCACATCGATGAAGTCCAAGGTCTTGCCCTGCCTGGCCTTCAGCCAGGCCTCAGCCCCCTGCTGGCGTAGCCCCCGCCGCCGCTCCTGGATGACCTCTGTGGTGAAGCGGTGCACAGTGTCACAGGCCTGCCGGAAGCGCCGCCCATCGGCCGTGAGGTAATAGATGAAGTCGAGGTGGTGGTGCAGGGTGTACTGCCGCCGGACCACCAGCGCGCTCAGCGCGATGATGGCTGTGATGTAGTCGCTCATCTTCCTGCCAGGGAGAAGGGCCGTGAGCCAGGCTCGTCCCCCAGACAAGCTTCCTCTCCCCGTGGGGAGGTGCCAAAGAGAGGCCCTATGGTAACTTTATTTTCTGAATTCTCCATGCTCTGCCATCTGGGCCTCACTGGCTGGGGACACACAGCCCCTCCCAGGACTAGACAGTTCTTAGGGACTGCAAACGAATCACCCAGGAGCATGTCTTTCATGTGCAAACCAACCAATCCAGAGCCCATTACCAAAATTTATCAGCCTGAGCCAGCATCCCCTGCCGCAGTCACCCCAGGGCCAGGTACTGGTCAACCAGGGACAGCGCGTACCCCCCAGAGCCTGCTGAAATTACTCAGATCAGCCCATCTCAAGTGCATACCTTGCCTCACCTGTTTCTCCCCACAAAAAAAGGCTTTTTCATGCTTTCTCCTGGCTGACCCTATACTTCCCCACGTGGCCCTGCATGGTGTGTGGGCCCCCTCCTCTCGGGAACTGTAAGCAACCAACTGTGTTTTCAGCGGCAGTCGTCTCCTGATCTGTTGCCCTCACAACACCTGAATAAAAGCAAAATCTGGGTACATTTTAAAACAGGCCCAAAGAGGGAATGACGACCTTCAGAGAGATGTAGCATCACTAGAACTAAATGGCTACAATTCACAGAGTGGGAGAGAGTATTTGCAACTCATCTATCTGATGAGGAGCTTGTGTCTAAAATATATAAAGAGCTCTTAATAATCAATAATCAAAAGACAAACCAATTAAAAAATGGGCTAAGGATATGAATAGACATTGCTCCAAAGAAGATACGCAGATGGCCAATAAGCACAGGAAAAGATGCTCAACAGCATTAGCCATTAGGAAAATGCAAATCAAAACCACAGTGAGATACCACTTCACCTGGAATGGCTATAATCAAAAAGACAGATAATAATAAGTGCTGGCGAGGGTGTGGGGGAATTGGAGCCCTCACATACTGCTGGTGGGAATGTAAAAGGGTGCAACCACCTTGGGAAAAAGTCTAGCAGTACCTCAAAAGGTTAAACATAGAATTATCACATAATTCCACTCCTAGGAACGTACCCAGCCATTCCACTCCTAGGAACATAGCCAAGAGAATTAAAAACATCTGTTCACACAAAAACTTGTACCCAAATGTTTATAGCAATGTTATTCATAACAGCCAAAACGTTTAAAGCAATCAACTGTCCATCAGTGGATGAGTGGATAAACAAAGTGTGGTATTATGTAGTGAATGGGATATTATTCAGCAATTTAAAAAATTAATTATTGATACATACTACAACATGGATGAATCTGAAAACATTATGTTGAGTGGGAGGAACCAGACACAAAAGTCCATGTAATTCCATCTATATGAAATTTCTGTAGCACACAAACCAAAGAGAGAGCAGGAAGCTCACGACTGCTTCGACCTGGTGGAGAAGTGGGAAGGGGGGGTGAGTGCTAAGACGTACAGGGTTTCTTTTTGTCCTCAACAAAATTTTGGCAAACCAAGTACAGCAATACATCAAAAAGATTATACACCATGATCAAGTGGGATTTATAACAGGGACACAGGGATGGTTCAACATCCGCAAGTCAATCAACGTGATTCACTACATTAACAAAATGAGAAACGAAAACCACATGATCATCTCAATAGATGCAGAGAAAGCATTCGACAAGATCCAACATCCATTTATGATAAAAACTCTCAATAAAATAGGTATAGAAGGAAAGTACCCCAACATAATAAAGGCCACATATGACAAACCCACAGCCAACATCATACTCAATGGACAAAAACTGAAACCCATCCCTCTGAGAACAGGAACAAGACAAGGGTGCCCATTTTCACCACTCTTATTCAACATAGCACTGGAGGTTTTGGCCAGAGCAATTTGGCAGGAAAAAGAAATAAAAGGAATCCAAATAGGCAACGAAGAAGTAAAACTCTCGCTGTTTGCAGACAACATGATCTTATATATAGAAAACCCCAAAGAATCCATAGAAAAACTATTAGAAACAATTAACAACTACAGCAAAGTTGCAGGGTATAAAATCACCATACATAAATCAGTAGCATTTCTATATGCTGACAATGAACTAACAGAAAAAGATCTCAAGAACTCAATCCCATTCACGATCGCAACAAAAAGAATAAAATACCTTGGGGTAAATTTAACCAAGGGAGTGAAAGATCTATACAACGAAAACTACAAGACTTTCTTGAAAGAAATCGAAGACGACATAAAGAGATGGAAAGACATTCCATGCACATGGATTGGAAGAATAAACATAGTTAAAATGTCCATACTACCTAAAGCAATCTACAGATTCAACGCTATCCCAATCAGAATTCCAATGTCATTCTTTACAGAAATTGAACAAAGGGGGCTGGCCCCCTGGCCGAGTGGTTAAGTGCACACGCTCCGCTGCAGGCGGCCCAGTGTTTCGTCAATTCGAATCCTGGGCACGGACATGGCACTGCTCATCAAACCACGCTGAGGCAGCATCCCACATGCCACAACTAGAAGGACCCACAACGAAGAATATACAACTATGTACCGGGGGGCTTTGGGGAGAAAAAGGAAAAAAATAAAATCTTAAAAAAAAAAAAAGAAATTGAACAAAGAATCCTAAAATTCATATGGGGCAACAAAAGACCGCGAATTGCTAAAGCAATCCTGAGAAAGAAGAACAAAGCTGGAGGCATCACAATCCCTGACTTCAAAACATACTACAAAGCTACAGTAATCACAACAGCATGGTACTGGTACAAAAACAGGTGCACAGATCAATGGAACAGAATTGAAAGCCCAGAAATAAAACCACACATCTGTGGACAGCTAATCTTCGACAAAGGAGCTGAGGGCCTACAATGGAGAAAAGAAAGTCTCTTCAACAAATGGTGCTGGGAAAACTGGACAGCCACATGTAAAAGAATGAAGATAAACCATTCTTTTTCACCATTTACTAAAATAAACTCAAAATGGATCAAAGACCTAAAGATTAGGCCTGAAACAATAAGTCTTCTAGAAGAGAATATAGGCAGTACACTCTTTGACATCAGTTTCAAAAGAATCTTTTCGGACACCATAACCCCCACATGAGGGAAACTATAGAAAGAATAAACAAATGGGACTTCATCAGACTAAAGAGCTTCTTCAAGGCAAGGGAAAACAGGATTGAAACAAAAAAACAGCCGACTAATTGGGAAAAAATATTTACAAGTTATTTATCTGACAAAGGGTTAATCTCCATAACATACAAAGAACTCACACAACTCAACAATAAAAAATCAAATAGCCCAATTACAAAATGGGCAGGGGACATGAACAGACATTTCTCCAAAGAAGATATACGGATGGCCAATAGACACATGAAAAGGTGCTCATCATCACTAATCATCAGGGAAATGCAAATCAAAACTACACTAAGATATCACCTTACACCTGTTAGAATGGCAAAAATATCCAAAACCAAGAGTGACAAATGTTGGAGAGGCTGTGGAGAAAAAGGAACCCTCATACACTGTTGGTGGGAATGCAAACTGGTGCAGCCACTGTGGAAAACAATATGAAGATTCCTCAAAAAGTTAAGAATAGAAATACCTTATGACCCAGCCATCCCACTACTGGGTATCTATCCTAAGAAACTGAAATCAGCAATTCCAAAAGTCCCATGCACCCCTATGTTCATCACAGCATTATTCACAATAGTCAAGTCATGGAACCAACCTAAGTGCCCAGCAACTGATGATTGGATAAAGAAGATATGGTATATATATATATATATATATATATATATATATATATATATATATACAATGGAATACTACTCAGCCATAAAAAATGACAAAATCGTCCCATTCACAACAACATGGATGGACCTTGAGGGTATTATGTTGAGTGAAATAAGCCAGACAGAGAAAGACGAATTCTGTATGACTCCACTCATAGGTGGTAGTTAACATATGGACAAAGAGAACTGATTGGTGGTTACCAGGGGAAAGGGGGGTGGGGGGAGGGCACTAGGGGTGAAGTGGTGTACCTACAACATGACTAATAATGATGTACAACTGTAATTTCACAAGGTTGTTAACTATCATAACCTTAATAAAAAAAAATTCTAAAATTGATTATGGTGATGGTTGCACAACTCTGTGAATACGCTAGAAACCATTGGATCATATACTTTAAGTGGGTGAATTGTATGGTATGCGATTGACATCTCAGCACACTCTTCACAAAAAGCTCAGACCCGGCTGGGCTGCGGGAGCTGTCCGTGGTCCTGAAGCATGGTGCTTTCCTGCGCTCATCGCAGTCTGTCATCTTCTCGTGTATTTATTTGTTCATGGTTACTGTCTTTCTTCCCACCAACATGTAAGATCCAGAAGAGCACTGGCTTGTCTGTTTTGTTGACCACTGTATTCACAGTGCCTAGTTCAAGACTGGCACATAGTACGTGCTCAGTAAATAAATCTTGGATTAATTAATGAATTAATTACAAAGGCCGCCTCTGCCTTACTCAGCTGAAACACACCCCTACAGGGCCCTGAGTAACAAAGTCAGCAGCTTGTTGTTGAGGACCTACCATGTGCTACAAACTGGACATTTTTTATGTCCCTTATTCCTTTATCCCCACTTAGACTATAAGCTCCAAGGAATTGGGACTTAGTTGCTCACCACCATATTCCCAGTAGTGCCAGGCACATAGTAGGTGCACAATGAGTATCTGATGAATGAATGAACCAGGGCAATAGTTATTTTACTCATTCAACCAATATTCACTGAGCTTCTACTGTGTTCCAGGGCCGTGCTGCATCGTTTTAGCCTTAAAGCATCTCTCAGAGAGTCAGGGAAACTGAGGTTCAAAGAAAGAAACTGAGGCTCCTGAAGTGGAGAGGACACTTTCCAAAGACCACATAGTCTTCATGGAGGAATGAGTGAGACTAGCATTTACTGAGCACCTACTGTGTGCCAAGCCATTGACTCACATTATCTCATTTAATTCTCTCACGATGACTATGGGAATGGAATGAGGGTGTCCATTTTTTGGATAAGGAATCAGGCTCAGAGAGGTGATGTCAGTTTCGTGGAAAGACACAGCCTGTCAGTGGCAGATAGCCAGCAGCCCAGGGCTGCGTAACACCTAAGAGTCTCCTTTCTCCTCCCACCGCCGCACCCCTAGAGCAGCTGGCTCTGTCTTCCCCGGGGAGGTCACACTCACTCCTGGCAGTTGCTGTTGTAGCTGAAGACACATTTCTGCAGACTGTCCAGAGTCATGAGACTGATGTGCTCAAACATGTCCAGGGAGACCACGGAGCCCTCCGCCAGGCACCGCCACTTAGCCTGGAGGGAGACACGTGGCGAATGGGCGTGGAGGCCGCAGACTTCAGGCCGTCCGACGGCGACCTGGCTGCATGCTCACTGCAAGCCCCTTCATGGGTAGGGACATGAGGCCTCCTGATGTCACATGATGCCCATGGGCTAGAGCCTGGACCAGCCTCACTCCGGGACCCTCTTCCCAAGCAGACTTGGGACTCACGTGCATGGTGTTGGTACACTGGTTGAAGATCTTCATGTAGGGCTTCAGGATGTCAAAGTGGAAGGCGGGGGTCAGCAGGCGGCGGTGCCGGCTCCACTTGTCCCCTTTGCTGAGCAGCAGCCCATCTCCTGGGCCCCAAAGACTAAGGTTAGGGCCTCTCTCCCTGCTGTGAAACACTCCAAGAAACCCACGCCCTCCTCCCTCTCCCCTGAAGCCCCGGCCCCAGACCACTCAGTCCTGCACTCACCCAGCCAAGGTTTCAGGAAGCCATAGAAAAGGTCATCCTTGGGGGCAATGGCAGCTGTGTAGAAAGAAGAGGCGATGACGACTCAAACAGACACTTGACCTCTGCGTATGACCTCTATGGACCTCCTCTCTGGGCTCTGACCTTTCACCTCATCCCCCAAGTCCATCCTCCTCACCTTCCCTAGAAAGATCCTTACAGCTGATCTGAAAATGAGCCTCCCCTGCTCAAACACCGACCATGGCTCACTATTGCCCCTGTAAAAATGTTCAAGCTCACACTAGCATTGAAGGCCCTACCCCATCTTGCCCCATATGCCTCCCCCACATTACCCTTCAACGTGTAGCAAAAAACGCCACATGCTGTCCCTCACCTCCACACCTCTGCCCCGACTGTGCCCCCACCAAGAATGGATTTCTCCACCTGGGTCTTCCCCGAGTCCACCTCCCTCTGTTCTGCCAACTCAGGTCATCTGAATCACCCATCCTGTGCGCCCAGGCGCCAGCCTCGCCCTCTCCAGTCTCCTTCACGCCGGTCCCACAGGGATCTTATCTGATTCCAGATCTGACCGTGTCTCTTCCTGCTCACACACCCACTGGCCTCAAGCACCAGCAGCTTGGCCCATTTTCAAGGCCCTAAATGATCGACCCCAGTCGAGGCCTCTCTCAAAACAGCTCTGTCCTCCGCCTCCTGCATGCTCCACATTCTAACAGTGCACATCTTTTCCCAGCTCCCTGAAAGAGCTGCGTTCTCTCTTCTCTGAGTCTTTCCATCAGATGCCCTCCCTGCCTCGAACCCTCTTGCCTCATCCTTCGAGTCTCTGCTCAGATGCCATCCCTTCCCTCAGCAGTCACTCTGGGGCATCCGTCCAGTTACAAGCCCCTTGAGAGGAGAAGCCATGTCAGTCACTGATATATTGGTGCTAAATAAACTTTTATTGAATGAATGAGTGAATGAACCAATCAATCAAAGGATGAATGAATGAAAAAATGCATGGATGGATGGATGGATGGATGGATGACTGAGTGAGTGAATTCCCTTTCTACGTGCTGAACAGATTTGGGACGCAATGGCCAGGGACCCAGGAAGGAAGTACCTGAAACTCAAGGGATGTCACTTTTACCTGTGATATGACTCAGCCCCCTACACATACACCCCCCACAAATTGGCCCATTGTGCGCACAGTCATCTGTCCACTCATTCTCCCACTCGACACACCTCTTCTGTCACCCTTCTGTGACCAACCCATGCTGGGCAATGCTGGGGACCCAGCGACGGCTCAGCTCCACGCCCTGCCTGGCAGAGCTCTGGGTGTGGTGGGAAAAAGAAGCAGAGGCACGCCATGCCACTGTGTGGAAGGTGTGCCAGGTGTGAAAGGAGGTACAGAGGAAGGGATGCTGGAGTGAGGGCAGGCTCCCGGGAAGAGGCAGCAGTGGAGAGGAAGGTGGAGCCTAGCCACCCCTCTCCTCTCTGGGCTCTGGACCCCAGGCTAGGTCCCCAGGGGCCTTCCCCATACACAGACCTGTCCAGTGGCTGGCCTGCTCAAACACTTCCCATGGCTCCCTGTCACCCCCAAGGTAAAACACAGGCTCATTCACTTTGCACACAGATGCTCTGCGTTCAGCTCATGTCTCATTTCCTGTCTCTCTCCACACATCATCTTCAGTCCAGACACCCAAGTCACCTGAATTGCCCTGGCACTTTGACAGATCTATACCTTTGCCCTGGCAGGACCCTCCACCTGGGACTCCTCTTCTGGCAAACTCCTACACATCCTTCAAGACGCAGCTTCACTAACACCTCCTCCAGGAAGCCTTCTCCAAACCCTCTCCTCCTGATGAACTTCTGCTCTCTCATCATCAGGTCCGTCCTTCACTCCATCCCTGACCACTGGAGGTCAGGAGAGGTTGTGTCTGGGCTGCCTCTCCCATCAGTTTCCCCACCAGTAAAAAGGGGATGGGAACATCTACCCTGGAAGTGGTCATATAAAAAAGCCCCTACACAGTGCCCAGCAGGGAGCTGCATTTACCATGGTTGAGAGCTTGGCCTCAGGGCCAGCAGATCTGGGTTCAAATCCCAGCCCCACCCCGACCTGGTTGTGTAAACTTGGGCATGTGCCTCCACTCCCTCACCTGCCAAAGGGGACACAGAACAATCCTGCCTGCTTCACGGCATCCCCACAACAGCTCAGTGGGCTAACGTGCTCCCGGCACACAGTGGGTGCCCAGTAAACATCTGGGCATGTAAATGAATAACCAGCCAACTGCTGGCTATTTTTATTACTATGATTGTAATTATTGGTCACTGGTGTCAAGAAGTCATGAGATGGCTACGTGGTCCCAGCTTACAGCAGGCCCCTGTTAGTGAAAAAAGAACACGTAGCTGCCATGGAAAACAGTTGCGTGGTTCCTTAAAAAGTTAAACATAGAATTACCAGGTGACTCTGCAAGTCTACAACAGGGCACCCGAGAGAAAGGAAGGTGCATCCTCGCCAGAACTTGCACACGCATGCTCACAGCAGCGTGACTCATGGCAGCTGAAAGGCGGGAACAACCCAAACGTTCACCAATGGCTGAAGGGATAAACCAATTGTGGCAGATGCATATATCCACACACTGGAATAGTACTCAGCCGTAAACGGGAACGAACCTCTGACACGCGCTACAACAGCGGTGAACCTCGAAAACATCGTGCTGAATGAGAGAAGCCAGCGGGAAGACCACGTTCTTCACAGTGTAATTCCTCTCATATGAAATGTCCAGAATAGGCAAAGCCATAGAGACAGGAAGCAGATTGATATTTACCAGGATATGGGAAGAGGCGGGAATGGGAAGTGATTACCTAACGGGTATGGGGTGTTTTATGGGGTGATGAAAAAACTTTGGAACTAGAGGGAGCCGACAGTTGCACAACATTGTGAACACACTCAATACCTTATACTTTAAAACTGTACACTTTAAAATGGTAAATTACACGTTATATGAATTTCACCTCAGTAAAAACAAGAATGTATAGAAACAAGCCATGATTACAGCCTATATATCGTGCCTTGTCCTCTATAAAAGCACATTCACCTGCTTTCTCCCTTCCTGCTCTCCGTCCCAAATGCCCATTGGAAGATGGGGAAACAGAGGTTCCAGGAGGAGCCTGGCGTTCCTCAGGGCCCATCAGCTGTGCGGGTCCAGGCCCAGAGCAGCCCCCCGCCAGGCGTGGCCCCGAGGAGGCCCCGGTGGGGGACGGATCCGAGACATGGAGCCAGGCCTGTCCAATCCCGGGGGCGGGCGTGGAGGGGCAGGGGCACCCTGGGCCGGGAGCCTGACTCCAGGCTGCCTCTCCTGACTCACAGCTCCACCCTCCCCAACCTGGAGGTCCCCATCCGGCTTCTCCAGTGGGGGAGGCCATGGACCCCAGACCATCCCGGGGAGCGGGGGTCAAGGAGGAGGCTTAAGCATGTACTGAGTGCCAGGCCCTGCCGGGAACTCTGCTCCTGGCTTCTTGGGGCCTCACAACCATGCAGGATGCTACTCAGGAAACTGATGCTGGGCGGGGGGTGGAGAGAAAGAAAAACATATTAAAAAGGCAGAAGAGAAGAAACCCTGAAGAGCAGCTCCCCACACTACACTGCTGTCCTCCCAATCACTCCATCTTACGGGTCAGAGACTGAAGCCCCGGGGGGCTGCGTGAGATGCTGGGTCACACGGCAAGCACGTGCTCAACCCAGGACTGGAGCCCAGCCCCCCGAGTCCTGCCCAGGGCTCTTCCCACGACCTGTGCCCACTCCTTGCAGGGCACTTCCCGCAGGCTCTATAGATGTGTCCCCCTTTGTGCAGGGGCGATGAGCATCCCCACAGAGGCAATGTTGGGGACACAGAGGCACGGGTAGGGCCGAGCTGGGGACAGCATGGACGCCAGCCCCCTACTCTGCCATCGCTCGTGGGTGGCAGCCTGGAAGGCAGTCTCCAGTCGTGTATCTGCAGAGGCCAAGCTGAGGCCAGAGATCCTTGCATTCCTGGAGCTCTTTATTTCCCACCTCCGCCCTCAATGTCCCCTAATGCCTCTGGAGGTGAACAGCTCCAGGCGAGGCCATGCCCAGGATCCAGAGCCCCACTTATGAGGAACATAGAGCTGAACATAGACACACGCAGCCCCAAAGGGTTAGGACTGAGAATGGGAAAGCCCAGAGGAGAGAGCTATGTTCCGTCTGTGGGGTCAAGGAAGGCTCCCTGGAGGAGGGGGTCATTGGAGGTGGGTGTTGAAGGTTGAGCAAGAGCTTGCCAAGCGCCCTTGGGAGTCCTACACCTTGGGATAGGTACAGACTGTAGAAAGGAGAAGCAATCCTTCAACATTTCCCTCCCTGCCACTCAGGGTCAGCCCAGGTGAAGACAGGGGCTGTAGGCTGGGATAGCCACAGCGGGAGTGTCAGAACCCAAATGATGGGAGTGCTATGGCTTAGAATTGAGCAACAACCACTTAACAAAATCTTAGGCAATGACTGCCTGTCCGAACATGTTTGGTTCTGACTTCCAGGTGGGTGGACATTCTCTCAAGGTTCCTGGGTTCTTAGACATTGTCACACCTTTTCCCAAGCTTTTCCCACCATCTGTGTATTGCCATTTCAGATTTGGTGAACTCTTATTCATCCTTCAAAGCCCTACTCAAATGGTTCTTCCTCTGGATAGGCCACCTGCCTAGAAGCCCAGGTGGGCTCTGGGAGTTGAGGGTTTACCCGTCACTCAGAGGCCCAACCTGCCTACCTGAGGCGCCCACCACGGGCTTAATGTAGTCAGGGTGCACCAGAACCAACAGTGGCAGGATGGGTCCAATCCACACCAGGAGTACATGGTGCATGTTGTCCAGCACCTTCTTCTCATCTTGGAGGCCCATCTCATTCGGGAGATACTGCGAGGGGTGGCAGGGAAAGACAGTGAGGAGATGCCCAGGCCCGCTTCCCCGTCCCTCCACCACCTCCCCCCCTCAACACAAGCTGGGGAGGGCTGTGGGGTGGTAGGCAGCTGGCTGCACCCCACTGAGCCTCCGTTCACTCGTCTGAAGAGTGGGGAAGGACCAGCTCTCTCTGAGGGCGGCTGAGGGGGTTCGCAAAGTGACGAGGCCAAGGAGCCCGCGCTGAAGACCCCAGGCGGTGCTGCTCCTGTGCGCGTGCGCGCGTGCCTGCGTGGCGCTCCTCCTGCCTCCCACCCGCCCGAGAGCCCTTCCAGGGGCTCCTCCACCAACTGCTCCGCAAGGTCAAGCGGCCCATCTGCCAAGACAGGGTGCCACTGTCCTGCCTCGGCCTCCCCCAGAAGCAGGTCCGGAGACAAGGGGTCCAGGGCAAGTAGCTACTGGGGGGTGAGTAGGGGATGGGGACGTGAGACGGGGAGGCAGGTGGCCGGCAGAGAGCGAGCTGTCAGGGCAGTGACCCCGCGAGCAGCCAGGCTCAGCCCCACTGGGACACGGACCTCAGTCCACCCACCCGCGGGGGAGGGGCGAGGGTGCTCACACCAGCTCCCGCAGGCCCGCAGTCCTGACCCAGGGCCGCTCAGGGGCGCCCACTCTCAAGCTGGCAGTCCACACAGGCAGAGGGGGGGCCAGCTGCCAGCGAAAGCCCTAGAACGCAGGTGCTGGCAGCTGCGAGTCAGGCCGTCACACCCAGAAATGGGCTGAGAGGATGTGGGCAGGTGACCAGCCCCCTCTGCCACAGCGGCAAAGCCAGGATGTGAACAGGGCCACCCAGCCCCAAGATGCGGCTCTTCACCAACGTGAGGCAGAAGCACTCAGGCTCAAATCCACTCTCAGCAGCTGTGTGACGTTGGGCAAGTCCCTTAACCTCTCTGAGACCCAAAGATCAAACCCATAATATAGGGAAGATCCATCCCTATTTCACAGGCTGTGAGAATCAGGAGAGAGCGCAGATGCTAAGGGGCCTGATTCAATGTCTGGCCAGTGGTAGGGCCCAGCAATTGTCAAATAAGTGAATGAATGAATGATTTCTCTCTGGCTCCCGGGTCTCTTTCTCAATCAAGCTCAGCCCTGAGCCTGTCCACACCCAAGGGAGATCACGGCCTCACCCAGGCTGCATGGCTCTGAGAGAAGGGCTGAGCACACGGGGTCAAGGCTGGGCTTTAGAACCAGCCCCAGCTGACTGCCCGTGGCACCAGGGCCTGGCCACTACCTCTAGGACTGCCATCAAAGCCAGAGAGCTTCCTGGAGTGAGGAAAAACGAGAAAAGTTTGCTTAGCAGAGAAGGATATTCTGGGCAGAGGGCATGGTTTCGGCAAAGGCACAGAGCTGGGGAGTTGGAGCCTTGTTGCAGGAGCCAGGAGTCATTCCGTGGGACTAGAGGAGGACGATGGGACAGGGGAGGAGGGAGGGGGGCCAGAGTCTAAGGGGTCTTGAAATACCAGCTGAGTAGCTGGGACTTTCTCCAGACAGCAATGGGGAGCCATGGAGGGTGTATGAGCAGGGGAGGGACATGGGTGGATTCAAGAATCTTTCTGGGGCTGGGATGGGGGATGGACTGGAGGAGTGAGGCTGGAGGCAGGAGCCCAGGGAGGAGGCTGGACCATGGTCCAGCAGGACAGGATGAGGCCTGAACAGTGGTGGGAGGACAGAGGGGAGGGAGGAGGTTCAGGCACAAACAGGCAAAGCTCAGTGAGTACTGGTCCCAGGAAGTTAATTCCCAAAACTACCTAAAATTTCTCTGGGCTATTGAGCGAAGCGTGTCTCCTGGTTCCTTTGGCCAGATGCTCACTCCAAGCGGCATCTAAAATGCATCGAGGCTCACCCGACGCCTCCTGTCTCTGCAGGACCCAGGAGCCGCACGGGCATCCACCACCGCGCCCCAGCTCGGGGCACACGTGCCACGGGCCTGACTTCAGGGACTGTCAGGACAATCCCATGACGCTATTAGGAACCACTGTAGAACCCGCACTGCAGATGCGGAAACTGAGGCACGGGGAAGTGAAGCAGCTTGCTCAGTGTCACACAGGCCTGAATGGTGGAGACAGACATCAAGGCCACGCTGAGGACTGCCGCCCCCAACTGCCTCCACAGCCCACCTCCGCGCTCGGCATGTGGCCTGGGCCAGCAAGGGCTCCGAAACGGCCCCTCAGTCATTAGGCCCGGAAGGGGCACCAGGCGAGTCGGCAGGCAGGCTGGGCTGGACCCAGGACCCCAAGAGCCTCAGTGACTTTGGGAGTCTGGATTTCTCTCTTCTGGCATCGGAAGCCCTTTAAGAAAGGTCCAGCCTTTCTCATCAGAAACCAGAGGCGGCAGAGGGCAGAGAGCTGAGAGCAGGGTCCTGGGACCAGATGGCCTGGGTCTGCACCCTGGCTCTGCCACTCATGAGCTGTGTGACCTAGGGCCAGCTGCTTAACTTCTCTGTGCTACAGTATTCTAGGGAACAAAATGGGGATAGTCGTGGGACCTACCTCCCAGGATTGTCACGAGGACCAAATAAGTTAATATTTATAAACCGTCAAAATAATATTTGGCACATATATGTGAAATAACAAATGAAATGCAAGAAAAGGGTTGGAGTCTTGACCTGAGACCACAGCATTAAAGCAAATGAGAGTGTGTGGAGCCACCCTGGGGACGGGGATGGAGCAACCACCCCACAGGAGCACCGCTCCTGCTGCCCGCCCTGCGATCCGGCCCCTGATGAACCCACAAGCCCTGGTACCTGTTGCTCCAGCAACAGCCTAGAATCAGAGAGAACTTGAGAGGCGGCTCTGCCCCCCAGCTGTGTGACCTTGGGCAAACTGCTGTCCTCTCTGAGCCTCAGCCTCACTCCTACCCTGTAAAACGGGTCTGCTCGTGGCTCCAACCAGATTCTTGAGGGGACGAGGGGTGCCAGCAGGTGCACCCTCCTTCCTGAGCCCCCGGGGCCCGCCCAGCCCCGTCCGCCCGGCTGCCCCGCACACACCATGCCCAGGTGGCCCAGCAGCCAGCTGCGCCGGGGCGGCTGCGGGAAGCAGCGCAGCCGTCGGCAGGTGACGCGGAAGCGCCAGCAGAGCCTCAGGAAGCGCAGCAGCAGGCGGAAGAAGACGAAGAGCAGCGAGAGCAGCAGCGCTGACGCGGCGCCCAGGCGGAAGGCGGTCCTCTCCAGGCCCAGCAGACGCAGCAGCGGCTCCGCGACGGGCAGCATCCTGGGGACACACGGGGGTCAGTGCAGGTGGGGGCCGCCCGCCGGCCCTGTGGCGCCAAGCGCAGCGAGCCTGGCACACAGCAGGCGCTCGGCACGCGCGAGTCCCAGACGCCGCGGAGACCCTCTCGCCCCCCCCACCCCCCCGCCCCCCGCCCCCCGCCCAGCACTGGCCTCCGCCGGCCGCACGCCCGTGCACCGCCGCCAGACAGCCCGGACACCGTGACGGCTCCCTCCCCGCAGGCAGCCCTCCGCGGAGGACTGATGGGCATCGCTGCGTCCACAGCCCCTCTCCGCGCGGGCCATGGCCCTGAGGTGTGGGTTCCCGTGCTCCCAGGGGCCCCAGGGGGATCAAGTCCAGCTGCCCGCAGTAGAAACTGTCTCTACTAGCTGCCTCCTTTTCCCTGCCTTACTTCCCTTTTCTTCTTTTTAATTGAGATTCAGATGACATAAAATTCACCTTTTTTTTAAAGATTTTTTTTTCCTTTTTCTCCCCAAAGCCCACCCCCCCCCCCCCAGGTACATAGTTGTATATTTTTCGTTGTGGGTCCTTCTAGTTGTGGCATGCGTGACGCTGCCTCAGTGTGGTTTGATGAGCAGTGCCATGTCCGCGCCCAGGATTCACATCAACGAAACCCTGGGCCGCCTGCAGCAGAGCGCGCAAACTTAACCACTCGGCCACCAGGCCAGCCCCCAAATTCACCATTTTAAAGTGAACAATTCAGTGGTGTTTAGCACATTCACAGTGTTGTACAACCATCACCCTGATCTGTTCCAGAACACTTCCATCACCCCAAAAGGAGACCCCATCCCCATGAGCAGTCCCTCCCCGTCCCTCTCTCCCACCCCTGGCCACCACCAGTCTGCCTTCTGTCTCCATGGATCCGCCTGCTCTGGACGTTTCCTACAGATGGGATCCATGTGGGCTCTTGTGTGTGGCTTCTCTCCCTCCGCAGCAGGTTTGCGAGGTTCATGCGCGTTGTGCCGTGTGTCAGGGCTTCGTTCCTTGTACTGCTGAGTACCGTGCCCTTGTGTGGACCTATCACAGTCCGCTTACCCTTCCTCTGTTGATGGATGTGGGGCCGCTTCCCTCCTGGCGACTGTGAACAGTGCTGCTGTGGACACGTGTGTATGTGTATTCATTTCAGCCCCTTTTCAGTCCTTTGCATTCACTTCCTCCTTCCTTACTGATCTTTTCTGTGATCACTTCCCAAATAAATTACTTGCACTCAAATCCTTGCCCTAGGGTCAGCTCCTCAAAACACCAAAACGAAGTGGGCAGGGGACAGTAACACACTAGCAACACAGGGAGCGGTCCAGAGCGCCGCGCCCCATCACATGGACTCTTAGAGCAGTCCTTGCAGGTGTCCTATCGTTGCCTCCACCTTCCAGACAACTCAAGCCCAGTCCCCCAATTCAAGGGAGTCGGGAGCTGGCTGAGACCCCCTGACCCCACCAAAGGCCAAGCTCAGTCACCCTTACTTTGGTGGCCCATGGATCTCAGATGACACTAAGGAGATTCCTGAACATGGCTGGGTCCTGCCCTCATCTCTCCTCCCACTCAGCCCTATCAGCCAAGAATTCCTTCTGTGTCCCTGCCTCCTTGAGTAATATGGCAAAAAGAACTGGCACTCCAGACCCTCACCTGAGTCCGCCATCCCCACCCGCCCCACCCCCACTAAGGCTCCTCCCCCAGCCCATGCCCAACCACATCATCTGTGCAGAAGGGGCCAAGTTTCTATTGGTGACCACACCCCGGGAGAACAGCTGGATGGGCCGTCAGCAAATTGGGAAAGCCCCATTGGGATGGTCTGACTTACAAGGCAGTTGACATGACCACTCAGTAGGAGGGCTACTATCAAAAAAGAGAAAGACAAGAAGTGTAGGTAAGGATGGGAAACATCGAAACTCTCAGGCATAGCGGGTGGGAATGCAAAGTGGTGCAGCCATGTCGTGGAAAGCAGCATGGTTGTACCTCAACAAAAACGAAACGTCCCAGTGGTCCCACTTCTGGGCATTTACCCAAAATAACTGAAAGCAGGGACTCTAACAGACATCTGCACACTCGTGCTCATAGCAGCCTTGGTCACAGTGGCCAAAAAGGTGGAAGCAACCCAGGTGTCCATGGATGGATGAAGAGATAAACACAATGTGGTCCATCCACACAGTAGAATATTATTCAGCCTTAAAAAGGAAGGAAATTCTGACCCATGCTACAACATGGATGAACCTTGAGGACATTATGCTAAGTGAAAGAAACCAGTCGTAAAAGGGACAAATACTGTGTGATTCCGCTTATAGGAAGTACCTGGAAGAGTCAGATTCATAGAGACGGAAAGGAGAAAGGTGGATGCCAACGACTGGGGGAGGGGGAGTTTTTGTTGAATGGGGACAGGTTCAGCTGGGGAAGATGGAAAAAGTTCTGGAGATGGATGGCAGTGATGGTTGCACGACAGTGTGGATATACTTAATGCCACTGAACTGTACACTTAAGAATGGTTAAAATGGTAAATTTTATGTTATGTATATTTTAGCACAATTAAAAATCTTTTTAGGGCCAGCCCCAGTGGCCTAGTGGTTAAGTTCGGACCGCTCCGTTTCGGTGGCCCAGGATCAGTTCCTGGGCGTGGACCTACACCACTCATCAGAGGCCATGCTGTGGCAGCAGCTCACATACAAAATAGAGGAAGACTGGCACAGATGTTAGCTCAGGGCGAATCTTCCTCAGGGAAAAAAAAAATCTTTTTAAATATACAGACTACCTGGTGTAGGCGATATGCCCTCTGGAAGGCCTGAGTAGGGGTGGGGGTTGGGAGGAAGGACCCTCCCAGAACGAAGCATGGAGAGCTCCACGTCACAAGTCCCAGGAAAATGCTCGGAGCCAGGGCTCTGGTGTGCCTCTGGGCTGCCTCCCCCACAGGCAGCTGCAGGTGACACACTCCACAGGAAGTCGCTGTGGGCACTCATTTCTTCACCAATTTAACAGTGGGTAATAATTCTCCCCAGCAATGCCCAGGAAGCCCACCAGTGATTACCAGAAAGAACCGTGGCCGTCATCTAAATGCTGCCACCTGCCAGGACTCTCACCAAGTGTTCGTGCATTTCTCCAGCATTCAGGCTGCAAATCGGTTTTGAGCCCCTGCCATGCATGTGATGCTCTTCTGGGCATGAGGATGTAACGATGAGCAGGACAGACATGGCCCTGGTGTTTAGGGGAGGTGACCACCAGCAGACATGCTAGAACACCACGTAAAGCTTACGTGTCATGAGAGAGGTAAAGCAGGGCAGGGGGGCACTGAATATTGCCCTCTCAGTGACACCACGTCCTAATCGCTGGCCCCTGGGGATGTGACCTTGTATGGCACAGTCTTTGCAGGTGGGATTAAGTTAAGGATGTAGAGATGGAAACATTATCCTGGATATCCAGGGGGTCCAAACTGGAGTCACAAGAGTCCTTATAAGAGAGAGGTCGAGGGAGATTTGACACACAGAGGGAAGAAGGCCACGTGAAGACGGAGGCAGAGATTGGAGGAATGCAGCCACAAGCCAGGGATGCCTGGAGCCCCCAGAAGCTGGAAGAGGCAGGGAGGGTCCTCTCCTAGAGCCACGGAGGGAGCGCAGCCCCATCAACACCTGGGTTCAGACTTCTGGCCTCCAGAACTGGGAGAGAACAAGTTTGAGCTGTTTCAAGCCGCCCAGTTCATGGTAATTTGCTCCGGCAGCCACAGGACACTAATATCGCGAGAGAGAGGATGGAGAGCAGTTCTTCTAGATGGAGTGGCCCAGGAGGCCTAAATGAAGTGAAGAACCCCACACACACTCACACACACAAACAGTCCATAAGCACTGGCTTCGAATCCTTACTCCTCCACTGAGGCTGTGTGGCCTGGGCCTCAGTTTCCCCATCTGAATCTGGGGGTGGCAGTAAAAGATGATCTCTGGCTCTACCCTGGTGTGACCCTTCCTGCCTGTGGCCTGCGAGGAGTCACATCGTGGCAGGCCCAAGACTCCCAGGGGGAAAGTAACATATTCAGCCAGCGGGGGCCACATGGGTCACCTCTAATCCTGGCTCCCATCCAGCCACCACAGTCACCTTTCTGAAGGTCTGTCACTCCCCTGCTCTAACACCTTCCAGGGCTCCCCACTGCCCTCAGCCTGGCATCCAAAGCCTTTCAGGAGGTGAGCACTGCCTATCCTCCACTTCAGCCTCGAGGATCCCCTTCTCGGTCTGTTTCGGACCCCTCTTTCTTCACCCAGTTTGTAACTGTTGGGGTTCCTTAGAGCTCGGTCCTGGGTCCTCCCCTCCTCTCCCTCTGGATTCACTTCCTGGGGATCTCACCCCATCCCACGGCTTCCAGGACCCTTGCTCAGCAGCCTCCCATGTCTGGACCCAACAGGTCCAGCCACATCCTGGATATCCCCCAGGGGCAGACCCCAGACCTCAGATGCACCTCACATCCTTCCTCCCCCTTTCTCTCAGGTCCAGTCTGTTGCCAGGTCCTGACGGCCATCTATCCTAAACATCTTTCACATTCATCCATTTCTCTCCATCCCTATCATCCAACCCATGTCAGGTCACCACAGTGGGAGCCTCTCCTGTTGGTCTCCCCAGCCCCATCCTCTGCCCCCAGCAAGGCCTTCTCCAGAATGCCTCCATTCTGCTGCCAGAGGAGTCTTCCAAAAATTAAATCAGATCATGACCTTCCCCTGCTCAAAATCCTCCTGTGGCTCCCATTACACTCTGAACACAGTTCAGATTCCTTTCCATGGACCACAATGGCCTGTGTGGCCTGGTCCCTGCTGACCCCTCCAATCCTGTCCCCCACTCTCTCCTCCTCACTCACTCAACTCCGGCCACAGGCCAAGTTCATTCCCACCTCAGAGCCTTTGCACATGCTGTTCTCTCTGTTCAGCATGCCTTTCCCCCAGCTCTGCCCGTGCCGGCTCCCCCTCATCCTCCAGTCCCAGCTCTGCCTCGACAGTCTGCTTTCACCACAATCAGCCACCTCCCTTCCCTGGCTCTCAGGAGAATTGTTGAGCACCTGCTGTATGCAGCGGCTTTCACAATCATTCCTTTCATCTTTCCAGCAGCCCTCGGAGGGGCTGGGGGACTTCCCAGCGGAGTCGCAGTGAGAGCCCCACCCCACCCAGGGAAAGCCCAGCTGATATCCCGCAAAGGAAATGTCTTACCGAAGGATTGAAATGGGAAGGAACCGGAGCGAGCCCCAGAAAAGGGGTCCCTGCCCCAAGCGGGTGGGTACACGGTGGGCAGGGGTGAGGGCGGGGAGGGGAGTTCTGAAGCACTGGGCCCACCTCGCTGCCCCACTCTGCCACCGCGCGCTGCCGCCTTCCCCATGACGGACGCCCGGCTCTGCTCCAGCAGAAAGAGCACGTGCTCTGGGCCCCCACCTGGGCCTCACCCCAGGAGCCGCGGGCCTCATCTACAAAGCGGGAATAATAGCAAGAGGCCCTTCGGGGCTGCTGGGGGAGCTCTGGAAACGTGCACGAGGCATCCTCTGCTTCTGCAGCTGGGCTTCTCCTGCCCCAACAAGAGCACTTCTGTCCAACCCCCCCCAAAGAAGGTGCTACAAAAAGCCGTGAGGTGGTGCAGATCCATGGGAAGCAGTCTGGCAGTTCCTCATAAAGGTAAATACAGAACGACCACATGACCGGCAATTCCCCTCCTACATGTAGACCTCAAAGAGTGGAAACCAGGGAACCAAACAGATGCTTGTGTACACACATTCATAGCAGCACTGTTCACAATTGCCAAGAGATGGAAACAACCCAAATGTCCATCCACTAATGAGTGGGTAAATACAATGTGGTATATCCATACAATGGAATACTATTCAGCCAAGAAAAGGAAGGAAGTTCTGATACAATATGGATGAACCTTGAAAATATACTGAGTGAAAGAAGGAAGACACAGAAGGCCACGCAGTGCACGACCCCATTTATATGAAAAGTCCAGAACAGGCAAATCCAGAGACAGACAGCAGATTAGTGGGTGCCAGGGCTGGGGGAGGGGGATGGGGGGGATGGGGAGTGACGGCTCGTGGGTATAGGGTTTCCTTTTGGGGTGATGGGAATGTTCTGGAACTAGACAGCGGTGGTGGTTACAAAACATTGTAAACATACTAGATGCCACTGAATTGTTCACTTTAAAATAGTTATTTTATGGGCCCGGCCCTGTGGCTGAGTGGTTAAAGTTCTGCATCCTCCACTTTGGCGGTCTGGGTTTGCGGGTTCGGATCCTGGGCATGGACCTACTCCACTCATCAGCCATGCTGTGGAGGCGTCCCACATACAAAATAGAGGAGGACTGGCACAGATGGCAGCTCAGGGCTGGTCTTCCTCAAGCAAAAAAAAGAGGATTAGCAATGGATGTTAGCTCAAGGTGAATCTTCCTCAGGAAAAGAAAAATAGTTATTTCACCTCAATTAAAAAATTGGAAAAAAAATGCTTTGAGACCTCATGAGAAATTTATCCTGGAGGCTGCCTCTGGGAGGGGCCTAGAAGAACTGGGGGCAAGAGTGGAAAGGAGATGTAACTCTCCCTCCCCACCCTTGGGGACCTTCTGATTTTGTATCCCATGAGCATACGCTGCCCATTCAAAAATGTTGTAATTAACTCTAAAAATTAATTAGTCGACTGTACAATGCAAAGAGTGAACCCCAAGGTAAACTATGGACTTCAGTTAATAATAACGTGTCTATATTGTAACAAACGAACCACACTAATAATAATGCAAGATATTAATAACAGGGAAAACGGTGGGGAATTGAGGGGGTGGATTGGAACTCTGTACTTTCTGCACAATTTTTCTGTAAACCTAAAACTGCTCCAAAAAATAAAGTCTATTAAAAATTAATTACTTGGGGGGCTGGCCCAGTGGCGCAGTGGTTAAGTTGGCACGTTCCGCTTCGGCTGCCCGGGGTTCACTGGTTCAGATCCCAGGTGCAGACCTACGCACTGCTTGTGAAGCCATGCTGTGGCAGGCGTCCCACATATAAAGCAGAGGAGGATGGGCACAGATGTTAGCTCTGGGCCAGTCTTCCTCAAAGAAAAAAATTAATTAGTTGACATTAATAAAAAAATGAATTAAGATGCTTCAATGGGGGGGGCGTGTTCTGGGGTGCAGGCAGTTGTTCCCTTTCTTGATCTGGTGACATGTGTGGGTTCAATTCGTGAAAACTCCTGAACTGTCCAGTTCTGGAATGTGTACTTTCCTATATGTGTATGACACTTCAATTTAAAAAAAATGTTTTTAATGAAGAGTTATTTGGGGATTGCACCATCCTTTAAAACATGTGTTTTTGACTCAGACAAGCCTGGATTCAAATCACAGCTCTGTGGCTCCCCAAGTGAGTCCAGGCCCCACCTCCAGCTTCCATTTGCCAATCTGCAAAATGGGTTAACAATAGCAGGACTCACCTCTTAAGGCTGTTTGCGAGACTTCAGGGAGATGAGGCTTGACAGGTAGCACACTAAATTTTAGCCTTTATTCCTATTTCTATCATTACGACTTTTTTAGAGCGAGACAAATTCAAAGCTGACACTCTCAGGATGCTGTGGGAGGTTGGCACACCCACTCCTCTGCACCAGTCCCCACGCTCATCCCAGATGCCAGGCACAGCCCCCAGCAGCCCCGCCCTGCGGAGGCGGCCCTGCCCCGGCTATCTGGAGAGGGCGGTGCCAGCCACTGGCTTGGTGGCCCACACCCATGGAGCGCTGGTTTGTCAGGTTAGCCCGGCTGCCAGTCATGCAAGGTGTGCGGGCTCCTGAGAAGGAAGGCAAGACAGGGATCCAGCCTGCCGGAAACCACATATCTGCCTCTCCTTGAACTACAGGCACGGAGGCCGCCAGTGGCCTGCCAGCCACGCACCTGACACTGGCCCCGTCACCCACATCCCAACCCTGCTCCCTGCTCCCTCTGTAGACAAGACAGCCGCCCCCATCCTAGCTCATGGCACCCCTTTCTCCCTCTATGCCACCGGGCTGCCCCACCCAATACTCTCATTCTCCTAAAGTGCCAGGCCAGTTGAGCGAGGGCTCACCCCAAACTTCTGTGGTTCTGAGAAAGCGCTCAGGGGCAGTTCTGAGAGCAGGGCTACATGGGCAAACTGTGGCGGTAATGGGGGCCGGGGGGTCTCTCACTGCAGCTTGAGCATATTGTATGTGGGCTTTTGCCCACAGCCTTCCTGGCCCAAAGGAGATCCTGGCAGAAAAAGAAGTTTAAAAACCACCAGCAATCTAGACGATTCCAGGGCTGCAATTGTCTCTGCCCAGCATTCCAACCTAATATGGCCACGCTTGGACACAAGCCTTGGAAAGGCTTCTGTAAAACTCTGCCTCTTAGCTGTGCGACCTCAGGTGAATGTCTGCACCTCAGTGAGCCTCAATTTCTCCATTGGTGAGACAGGAACCATATTACCCATGTCGCAGATCTGGATGACAATGCAGTGTTTTCATGTGTTCAGCTCGGTGCTTGGCACACAGTTAGCCCTTGGTCAAAGGTACCTCTCATTTTGTTGATGTCACCATCATATTCATGATTGTTACCTGGCCATCTGGGATTGGAAGAATCTGGCCCAAGGCTTGCCGGGGGGCAGAAATGGGCTCCCATTCTCTGAATGTCTCCCAAGTCATCCAAGCCCCTCTGCAGACATCAGCTCAGGTCACGGCCGGACACCAGCCCAGAGCTAATGTTACCACTCAGAAACCCAAGCTGGGCTGTACCGAGAGGCCGGGGCCATCAGCAAGTGCCCAGGATTTTAAAGTCAGATGAGGCTGGTTTGGTCAAATCCCAGCTTCCCCACTGTGTCCCTCCCACCTCCACGCTGAGTCTCCCCAGCTGGTGGGCCTCAGTCACTTTGCATGGCCCAGGCTGGACAGCCACCCCCTGGTCCAAGGGGCCTGGGCCAGACCCCTGGGACACCAGGGAGCATCCAGTATCCAACAAACATCGGCTGGGGCCCAGCAGGGCATGCCCTTTTCAGAGAGGGGCACCTGGAGGCTCTGTGCCTGCCGCAATGAGTAGGAGCATCGTGCAGGCAGCAGGACCAGAAGCGTATAGTCCACCGGTGGGACGCACAGCCTCCACTTTAAGACAATGAGGAGTGGTGAAGTCCCAAGGACCCTAATCAGCCTTAAGGCGGCGTCACGGGGCTTGGGTCCGTCTGAGATGTCCTGATGGGGAGGGGAGTCTTTTTGAAGCCCCTCCCCACCACCGACACCCAGAGAGAAGGATATACCCAGGACTTCGAGGTGCTCACATAAAAAAACCGCGCTGACTGCAGCAGTGACCGTCGGTGACACAGCCACATCCCCCCAACCCGAGCGTCCCGGACACGCGGGCCCGTCCTGGGTCTTGGGAACCCCCGGACCCTCGCCCCCGCGCCACCCGCACCTGGGCCGGCGCGCCTCGGGCTCCCGCGTGGGGCTGCGGCCGCGCTCAGGTTGCAGCCGCCGGCGCGCACTCACCCAGCGGGTCTCAGCCTTGGGCCCTCGATCCGGATCCGCCCGCGCCGCAACCTCGGCTCTGACCGCGCCGTCTGGAGACCCGGCCCTTTAACCCCGCCCGGCCGGCCGCGCCACGAGGCCCGCCCCAGGCCCGCCCCCGGCCTCGCAAACCTCTGGGCGGGGACCGGGGCGCGGCCCCCAGAGATGGAGCGAACGTGAGACTGAGAAGCGGAGGCATGGAGACAGACGGAAGGGGAAAGACACAGAGGCTGAGTTGGAGACAATGACATCTGGAGAGATGGAGAGCAAGACACAGAGAAAGACAGCTCAGGCTCCCTGTCCCCCTGCCCTTGCCTGGCTCCAATTCGGGCCCAGATCCCCCTCTGGGCCACTTTCTAAGACACTCCTCCCACACCAGCACCCCTCATGGCCCCCACCTGCCCCCAAGCTGAGACAGAGATCCCTAAGCCAGCACCCCTGGAGCCCCACGGGCCTCCCAGGAGCCTCCTCTGGGACCCCAGGAATCCTCAGACTCCACCAGCTCTTGGGAGCCAGCCCTTCCGCTCCCTCTGGACCCTGAGGCTCTGCAGCCAGCAGCAGCCTCTCCCTCCAGGAAGACCTCCAGCCTCAACAAGCAGCGCCAGGCTCTGTTTCTGCTCTTCCCTCCTGCCTCCGCACTGCCAGCCACCCTGACCCTCTTGCTGGGATATTGTCTTTGGCCAGCCCATTTGTGCCAGATGTGTCAGATGGGGTCAGCTCCGCCCCTGGACGTCACAGAGATACCATTCTCTGGCTGGGTGGGCAGTTGACCTGGGCAAGTGGGCAGACAGATGGGAGAGCTCACAGCTGACCTCCAGCCCCCTACCATCTCCCCAGGGTGGAGCAGATGGCCTTGTGCATACCAGATACCCAGAAACACCTGTCAAAGGGGGGGAAAGCACCAGAGACTAGAAAGAACAAAGGTTCCAGGCATTATTGCAGGCCCATCTGGGGAAACCGAGGCACGGGCTGCAGGCTGGAGGAGAGACGTGACTGTCTGGGTTCAGGCAGGGACAGGTCAGACACTGAGAAGCCTGAAGCTGCGAGAAGACCATGCTTCCTCTCCATGAGCTCCGAAGTGAAAGCTACAGTAAACCAGAAAGAAGCTGAGGAAAGAAAGTAAGTTCAGATTTTCCCCAGGATGGCCATTCCAAAGCCTTTGATTTATCAAAAATAAACTCTGGGGGCCGGCTTGGTGGCGTAGCGGTTAAGTTCGCACACTCTGCTTCATTGCCCCAGGGTTCACCGGTCCAGATCCTGGGCGTGGACCTAGCACTGCTTATCAAGCCACGCTGTGGTAGCATCCCACATAAAGTACAGGAAGTTGGTCACAGATGTTAGCTCAGGGCCAGTCTTCCTCAAAAAGTAAAAATAAATAAATAAATTCTGGATGCAGTTACAGACTCAGTGCCTGGCAGGTGAGGCAGTCCCGGCTCTGGGGGCCAACCAGGCTAGAGGTCTAATCTCAGGGCTGGTGAGCTTGGTGGAGGGACCAAGAGGTGGAGCAGGCCCAGAGCAGGGCTAAAATCCCAGAGGACAGAGCCTGGGACGAAGGCTAAATGCAAAGCCATGTAGCACAGTGGTTAGAGCGTGGTCTCTGGAGGCAGAGGAGTCAAAGGGCTGCATCACGTGCTCAGAAGGTTGAGGTTGTTGCTTTAGGGCAGCCGGTGCTTCTCCCCCAAGTCGCTTCTGCCCCAGGGGACGTCTGGCAATGTCTGGAGACATGTTTGGCCATCCCCCCTGGGGGCTGGGGTGCTCCCAGAATCTAGTGGGTAGAGGCCAAGGATGCTGTTAAGCACCCTACATTTTCACAACAGAGAAGGATCCAGCCCCAGATGTCAGCAATGCCAAGGCTGAGAGACGCTGCTTCAAGGTGCAGGGAGCCCTTTGTGTTTGACGCACAGCACGTGCTAGGTAAGTGCTGACTGCTGCAATTAACCTCGCATGCCATGCTTCCAGCCTTCTTGCTCCCCAGCAAATCCTGTTGCTGACTCCACACTCCGCTGCATGCCCTGGTTCGTAGAAAGTGATGGCCTCCCAGCCCAGTCCACGTGCAGTCTTCAGTCAGGTAGTCTTGCTTTCACCTGCTTCTGTCTCGCCCTGGGCCTGGGGTCTCCTTGAGGGAGGGACCCCAGGATCAGCCGGTGCAGGGCTGGGCAGTGCTCAGCTCAGAATAAATCTGTGCAGTGGTGACGCACCTGCTGTGCTCCAACCATCATTCCAGACGCTGGGACTATGGCAGGGAATGAAAACAAGAGCAAATCCCTATCCTCATGGGGCTGAGGCTCGAGGCAGGGAGACAGAAACAGAAATTCCACCCTGCAAGAGTGGAAACACAGGGCTTCACAATGGGGTGGAGGGGGTGCTGTGACTTGAGGCTGGGGGTCAGGTCCCCTGCTGAAACCTGAGTAACAAGAGTAAATGGTGAATCATGTCGTATGCCTTGAATAGATGCTATTTTTATTTGCAAATCATACCTCGATAAATTATACCTGGGGGGAAAAAGAGAATAAATTTTGAATGAGTGAATGAATTTTCACAAGTCTGAACCCCACAGAAAATACTCGGGCTGGTTCCCAAGGTCTGATACGAGCATCCTTATCAGTTAAGCCTGGCAATCTTAGATGGCACAGGGAGGGGCACTGTTCCATTCATTTTCTGTTTTATTTATTTATGTTAAATGAGAGATTTGCTTCGACATGTAGAAGAAAAAAATATACTCAGCCTGTATGTCAAATCCACAGTCTCATGGGTTTAGTAATAGGGATATTAATTTTGCTTTTAAATAAATAAGGTTTAAAAGGAAGATCACTGGAAGAAAACTGTCAAGTAATAGGAAGGTAATATGTAGATGGGGTAAAAACAGAAACGGCTGAAATTTCAGAGTCGGAAGCCATCTGTGTGCATTAAGACAACGATGGAGGAGGGGACTGAAGATGTCTGAATTTGAGTTTTGGAAATATGAGGGCACCAGTCTTTTCCAAATTCCAGAAAACAAGAAGCAGAGGATTCCAAACTTGAGGGAGGGAGTTTTAAAACAAGCGTAGGATGCCTGCGTGCCCCAGCAGGGGGTGAACTTGGACAATGTCTTCGTCCCTCTTCATTTCAGTAATGTCCTCTCGCTCGTGCGGGGCCTTCGGCGAGGGTGGCAGGAGGTGGTGTTCCAAGGTGAAGAAGAGGTGATACAAATAATTGAAGTCTTGCTCCTCGGAGGAGGCAGAGGGAGGCCAGGGAAGGGACTGCGAGGGACGAGGGACGTGACACCTGAGCCTGGACTTCAAGGACAGGTCAGATTTCAACAGGTGCCGGGGAGGGGGTGGGGCTGCGACACAGAGAAACCGGAGTGTGCAGTTGGGCAGGTGGCTTTCCCTGGCTTTGGTGTGGGAGGCGAGGGGGCTGGAGGCGAGCAGGGGCGGACGTGAAGAGCTTTGAAGGCCAGTCCAACTGGAGTGACTGAGGGTTGATCTGGAGGGCAGTGGGGAGCTGGGATGGTGCTTGAGCAGAGGAGGAGCCCCCTAGTGGTCGGTTGATTTCAAAGCACATTGGAGCTTATTTATTTTTTTAGGGATGCGGATTTTTTCAAAGATGTGGAAGACGTCCGCATTGGTACCTGGCTGACTGTCAGTCTCCAGGGAGCAGAGGATGGAAGTGGGAGAGGGGGAGACCAGGAGAGGGCATCCGCCTGGCTTCTCTGCCCTCAGAGAGATGGGACCAAGAAGGAGTGACTCAAAGAGCCTGGGAATGAAGAGGCACTGAGAGTGGGCCCCCTGGCCGTATGACCTCAGAGAAGTCACGAGACCAAGACCGCTGTGAGCCTGCATCCCCACAGAGATAGAACGGAAGGGAGGGCTCTGCCCTGGGCCGGCACAGAGCGTGGCTGGACGCCGGCCCTTCGAGTCTGTGGTTTGATCTGGGCAGTCCCGGCAGTTCTCAGCCAGGCGACTTGTCCCCTGTACACTTGGCAACATCTGGAGATACTAGTGGTTGTCGCTCTGTGGAGCAGTAGGCATGGTACTGGCATCTAGTGGGCGAGGATGCTGCTGAACATCCCACAAGGCACAGGACGGCCCCGCCACAGAGAATGACCTGGCCCCAAATGCCGACCGTGCTGAGGCGGGGCACTCTGGGCTCCCTTGAGTGTAAAGGCCTGTGGCCACTCAGGGACACACCCTGGAGGCAGTCAGGCCCATTGTGAGAAGTGCGTCTGTGAGTCACCTGTACTGGGAAGACAGGGATGCCCGGGGAGGGGGTCAGGGACATCAGCTGGGGAGGAAGGTGGGCAGACAGCAGCATTGATCACACCCGCATTTAGAGAGGACGCAGAGACACGGAGCCGGAGGCGGAGATGAGCCGCATCTGGGAGGCTGAGGAAGAGCAGTCCAGCACCTGTGCCCAGAGGTCAAGGAGCCCAGGCCCTAGGAAGGGACAGGGCTGTGTGGTTACCAGGTCACCAGAGTCCTCAGCCTGGCAGCAGCGAAGGTCTCAAAGAACTGCGGATAAGAAGTAGAGGCAGCCGCCAGATTAGGGAGATGGTACCAGAAAGACGGCTGGGAGCGGACAGAGGCGGAGCAAGGCCGGGGTTGGGGAGAGGCACTCCTCCTGGGGCTCCCAAAGTGCATGGCAGACTTTCAGGGTCAGAGATTAAAATTTTTTTAAAAAGAGCCATCTCCTAGGAGAACTCCCTAACACATTCTATGCAGCCAACATCACTCTGATCCCCAAACCTGACAAGGACAACACAAAGAAGGAGAACTACAGGCCGATATCACTGATGAACATAGATGCAAAAATCCTCAACAAAATTTTGGCAAACCAAATACAGCAATGCATCAAAAAGATTATACACCATGATCAAGTGGGATTTATACCAGGGACACAGGGATGGTTCAACATCCGCAAGTCAATCAACGTGATACACTACATCAACAAAATGAAAAACAAAAACCACATGATCATCTCAATAGATGCAGAGAAAGCATTCGACAAGATCCAACACCCATTTATGATAAAAACCCTCAGTAAAATGGGTATAGAAGGAAAGTACCTCAACATAATAAAGGCCATATATGATAGACCCACAGCCAACATCATACTCAATGGACAAAAACTGAAAGCCATCCCTC